CACAGGTTGGCTAGAGATGCATCAGGTGACCTGGCGTGGACAGCCATGGGCTTCGGAATCTGGACCAGCTGATGTGGAATGCATCAGCCAGTTAAAGAATTCAGCCTCATCATGAGAGGGAATCGAAGGCATCCTGGAAGGATGGTGCGGGCTGTGGCATGCAAGCAGAGTGGGTAGCTGGTCCCTAAAGCCATCTTGGTTCCCCGAGTCCATCAAATTCCAGTTTCAGTCCATGAGCAACCTTTCTGCAAAGCCCTCTCTACCACTGGTGCGCTGAGTGAGACTCCCCCTCTCCACACAAAACGCCGACTCACCCGAGCATGATGGAGACTGCATAGCACAATATCCAGGGGCAGAAGCAGTAGCACAAAGAAGGGAAGAGCAGAACAGAGCGACTCCCAAAAGGTGCAGAAGCAAGAGAGAGCCCACAGAAGGGCACAGAACGGGCATGATCCGCAGTGTAGGATAAGGGGAAGGAAAATTCCCCTTTTGAGAATTTTCTGACAGGGAAGCAAAGCCTTAGCAATGTAAGGCAGTGAGAAAACGCAGAATCTAAAGGACGACAAGAAAAGACAACAGGGGTGGAAGAGAAAGGAGGAGGAGAGCAATGGTCTCTCCCCGGCTCTGCTCTGTGCAGCTGGGAGACAACCCTACAAGCCGCGTTCCCAGGCTCTCACTACTGGTCGGCTGCTTCCAGCCGGCTTCAGCCGGGCACGGTCAGGAGATTTGAGGGCGAGAAGAAGGGAAAAGTCAGACTGTTTCTCCTCCCCCTCCTCCTGTCTCATGGAGGACTTCTTGGTAGTTAGTGATTGTCTCTCCAAATCCCCAAGCGGGCCTGCCAGGGTCCCAGTTTCTCCTGGGGATCCTTGCCTGTGGGCTTGGGTAACACCACCTGCTCCCTTTTCCTTTCCAGCGGGTGGAGTGCGAGAGCTGGCTTGTACTGACTCACAAGAGCAGGCTGGTAAATATTTAGGAATTTGGCAAGCTGGTTGTTAAACTGTTGCTAGCATCAAATTGGCCCATGCTAAAATCAAGGCTTTTTTCCTCGGGGAGAGCCAGTTACCAGCGCAGCATTGCCTCCAGCCTTCTGCTGCTGCCAATCTCTAGTTTTCTCACTGTCCCAGTTGGTTTCTCTGCCTCTTTTTATCACCATGTAACCGATTCCCTGCACTACATTCTGTTTTAAATAGGGAGTAGTTTCTCTGTTCGTGGTGGGACAATGAGCTCCTAAAGAGCTTTAATATGCTTGTATTGATTTCAGAGAGAGCAAGGGAGGGGGAGAGAGAGAAACATCAATGATGAGAATCATTGTTCAGCTGCCTCCTGGGAATCGAGCCCACAGCCCGAGCATGTGCCCTGACTGGGAATCAAACTCGACCTTCTGGTTTGTGGGTCGATGCTCAACCATTGAGCCACACCGGCTGGACAGAAAAAAACAAACCCACACTGAGACTCTGTATCAGTGTTGGTTGCCTTCTAGAAGCCATGCCCTCCAGGTGCCTCCTCCTTTCTAGTTTTGTTGTGAGCAACAAAGTGTTCATTCCCAGGGGATGGGTCATGATTGGTCTAAGCTTAGCATTTGAATCCTTTTTTTGCTCAATTCCCTTGCAGTGAAGGGTGACCTGAAGACCTGGTTCTGGTCAGTGAAATGTGAGGGGACATCTATTAGGATGGCCTCTGGAGAAGCTCTTACTTCAGTAATAAAAGGGACAGAGGCAGTTGGCTCAATCCTGTCCCCTTTCTTCTTGCCTTGAACGTGGATGTGCTGTCTGGAGGCGTTGCAGACATCTTGCATTGCCAATACACCATGCTGATTGACATCCTACACACTACACCAGCCTGCAATTGCGTACTTCAGATGTCTTTTTATGTCAGAAAAGTTTATCCCCAGTTTGTAGAAGCCATGGTTTGATCTGCTATTCGTGACAAGAAGCAACCCAAATACAAATCTTCAAACATAAATGGGCAAAGGTATGAATAGACAATTCATAAGTCATGAAATGTAAATGAGTAGTAAACACATCAAAAAGTTCAAGGTCATTATAACCATTTTTAGAAATTAAACTAGTATAAGAATCTTTTTTCTTTAACCTACAAAATTAGATTTTTAAAAACATAGTAAAACCATCAAGTGCTGAGAAGGGTGTGGCAAAATAGAGGCTTCCCACATTGCCAGTCAAGGTGCCATTTGGTAGAACAATTTCGGAAAGCAATTTGGAAACATGCAACAAGAACTTAGAAAATATTTACATTATAAACTAACGATTTGACTTTGTGGAATTTACCCTAAGGAGACAATTTCAGTTGAATTAAGGATGTAAGCACAAAGGTTTGTCACAGATTATTTAGTATACCAATACAAAGAAAAATAAAAAAGATGCCTAAAACACTGGAATGGTTAATTAAATTATAAAATACATGCAAGAGAATAGTATGCAGCCACAAAATTATGCTGACTAGGAGTCAATTTGGAAAGGTTATTTTTGTTAGATGTTACATAAATAAAAATATACACTGTATAAAGTGAATGTGGATGAACATAATGTCCCTAAAAAGTTAAACACAGAATTACTGAATGTCATAGTAATTCCACTCCTGGGTGTGTACCCAAAAGAAGCCCAAACAATCCTTATAGATGAATGTTCATAGCATCACAATTAACAACAGCAAACAGGTGAAAACAACCCAAATGTTCACCAACAGAAGAATGGATAAGCAAACTGTGGTATCTACACACAATGGAATATTATTCAGTCATAAAAAGAAAGGAAGTACGGATCCATGCTACAAGGTAGGTAAACTTCAAAAGCATTATGCTAAGGAAAGCAGACACAAAAAGGTTCCATATCTATTTAAATGGAACATCCAGAATAAGTAAATCCATAGAGACAGAAAGCAGATTGGTGGTAACCAGCAACTGAGGGGAGGTGGGAATGGGGAGGCACTGCTGAATGGGTTTTATTTTAGGGTGATGAAAATGTTTCTAGCCTTGTGCTTCCTTATTCTAATACCACTTGTTAAAAAACTACTCTTAATTGAATTGCCTGTGTACCTTTGTAAAAAAAATCAATTTGAGATATTCTGGGGGTCTATTCCTGGACTAAATTCTGTTCCATTAACTTATATGTCTTTCCCTTCACAAATACCATGCTAAATTGACTTTATAGAAAGTCTTAAAATCAAGTAACATAATTCTTCCAATTTTATTCTTTTTCAAAATTATTTTGCCTATTCAGTTCCTTTGTTTTTTCATAAAAATTTTAAATTCAGATTTCTAATTGTTCATAGCTAGTATATGGAACCACAGTAGATTTTGATATATTGATTTTGTATTCTACCACTTTGCTAAATTCACTTACTAGTTCTGGGATTTATTCTTTTCGGTAGATTTTCTTGCGAGATTGTCTTTCCTTCTTTTTTAAAATATTTTTTTTATTGATTTCAGAGAAGAAGGGAGAGGGAGCGAGAGATAGGAACCTTAACAATGAGAGAGAATCATTGATTAGCTGCCTCCTGCATGCCCCACACTGGAGATTTAGCCAGAAACCTGGGCATGTGCCCTGACTGGGAATTGAACCTTGACCTCCTGGTTCATAGGTTGACACTCAACCACTGAGCCACACTGGCCAGGGCTTTGCTGAGATTTTTTAAATAATGAATGCATGTTCAATTCTGTCAAATGCTTTTTTTGTTGTTGTTAATCCTCACCTGAGTATACTTTTTCCATTGATATTTTGAGAGCGTGGAAGGGAGGGGGAGAGACAGAGAGAAACATTGATGTGAGACAAACACATCAATTGGTTGCCTCCTGCGCGTGCCCCAACCAGGGCCAGGGATTGAGCCTGCAACTGAGGTATGTACCCTGCCCTTGACTGCAATCGAACACGGGACCCCTCAGTCCATGGGCCAATGCTCTTTCCACTGAGCCAAAATGGCCAAGGGCTGTCAAGCGCTTTTTTTGCATTAATTATTGTGATCATGTGTTTTTCAGCTTTACTGTAGACAGTTGATATAATGGTTTACAGTAATTTATTTTAAAATATTGAACCAGCCTTGCTCTTAAGGGTTAAATTGTATCCTCCAAAAAGGTATATATATGGAAGTCCTAACTCCCAGTACCTCAGAATATGAACTTATTTGGAGACCGGGTCTTTACAGAGGTAATCAACTTAAAACGAGGTTTTTAGGATGGGCTCTAATCCAATATGACTGATGTCCTTATAAAAAAATGAAAATTCAGACACAGAGACAGACACCCACTCAGGGAGAGTTATGTGAAGACTGGAGTTATGCTGCCACCGCCGAGGAACTACCAGAAGCTGGGAGACATGCCTGGAACAGTCTCTTCCCAAGTGTCTGCGAGGGAGGCTGGCCTCCCTGACTCCTGAGCACAGACCTGGGGAGCAGAGCAGAGCTTGCCAGGTGACCATCCCTCCCAACAGCCTGCCCCCCCCCCCCCTTCCTGCAGCCCTGGTTCTCCTTTAGCTGATGTGCAATGCCTTGTTTTAAAGTTGAGACAAGGCTAATTTGATATAAACGTAAAACACCCCATTTCTTTGGGGAGTTTGGTTCTTGCAGCCCACTTTCCTCTTTCATTATTAGAAAGTCCAACACAGTGGAATGAGGAAGCTGGCTCCTGTGATATGCTAAGGTGATATTTTACACCCAGCCTTTAAATAGCGCTGCTGGCAATGCCAATAAGGAAACATTCCTGAGAAGGAGAGGAAGGTGAGCCTACGGCTCTCAACTATCACAGTCTGTGCAAGTAACTAACTGCAGCAAAACAGACTGGAATCGCCTTAGCAAAGCTCTCAGCTAGCTGCTTCTCAGTTTTAAGGCCCAAGTATGCTAACAGGAGGAAAAATATTTCTGACTAACCTTCACCTGAACTCCTTTGTCCTTCATGTGGTTTCTCCAGATCTTTCATTTCCTCTGCATTCCCTTACCGAAGTTAAGGTCCGTTTCATTAGGAATTGAGTACAACTAGGCTCTCCATCCCTTACAACCCTTGACCACAATCGATGTACAGAAACCAGCCTAGCCATGACTACATTAATGTTACTAAAACGCATAAAGAAAAGGGCAGCAAAACATTCAAGTATTTTTTAAAAACAAATTATTTCAAAAGTATGTGTGAAAGTTAAAAAGGCAAACATCTTGCATTTCTTTATTGCCAAAAGAAATGGTCAGCATTTAAAAAATTAGCTCATGGTCAGTAGAAATAGCAAGAGTTTTGTAGTGAGAAGAGGTCAGGGTTGGCTGTTACGAGTTGTGGGGGTGATCACTTTAACTTCTTCATACTTCACTGTGGGAGGCAGTACAGCCCAGGGATTAAGTGCACATGGGGTTCACAGATCCAGTACTTCCTGGCAGCTTTTTAAAAATTGATTGGGGGGGGGGGCAGTAGAGGGAGAAGAGAGAGTGTGAGAGAGAAACATTGAGTTGCTGTTCCACTTATTTATGCATTCACTGGCTGATTCTTGTATGTGCCCTAGCCGGGGATTAAACCCACAACCTTGGCATTGGGATGATGCTCGAACTGAGCTACCCGGCCAGGGTTTCCTAGCAGTATTATCTCAATCTAGTGGCTTATCCTCTCTAAGCTTTCTCCGTAGAATGGAGATTTAAAACAACAACAACAACCCTTAACTCATTAGGCTGTTGTGAATTAAATGAGATAATGCATATGAAGAGTTTAACACAGAGCCAAATGTCAATAAGTATTAGCTATTATTACTGTTGATTTTAGCTTTACAAAAAGGAAAAAATACCTGCTTTATCAGATTACGAAGAGGATAAAAGAAAATAGAAAAGAAGCTAAGAGAGTTATAATGTCACAAAGCCTAACAAGGACACTCTCTCCAACCCTGGGGTATGGAACTGTGATCTAGTAGTTCCATGTATATTGCCCACAGGAGTAAGTAGGCAGGAGAAGGTGTCTGAGAGAAAGATCTCCCCTTGGTTTAAAGGAATTGACTAAATTGGATATTACTGGAAAATGCAGACACCCCAGAGATCCATGTTCGTCTCAGGCCTTGTTACATTAGGTACACTCAAGCCTCCAGAACTGACTCCCAGGCCGTTCTCAGGGCCCCCTCCACAGGCCACACAGGGCTACTGGAGGAGAAGCTACATTGATATGGACACCTTCACCTTGCAGGATTTACCACCAACCACAGGGCGAAGCCATCGGGGCAGAATCCATTTCTTTTTTCTCTGCTGTATCCTCACAGGGTCTGGCATCTGATGTTTCCTGAAAGTCTGTCTCTCAGCCAGAGGCAGATTCACAGGCTGGGAGCGGAGGGAGCAGGCGGGAAGCTTAGGAGAGACAGGAGACCTGTGCATCTGGCTTCCAATCCCTCTAGGACGCCACAGCTTCCACCAGCTTCCACCCACTTCACCGCTTTGGTTCTGCAGTCCCTCTGAGGACTGCGCCACAGCTCAAGGACACCAGTGAAATCATTCACAGACAACTAAGTCCCGGGAAACCCTCCTGGGCTGCAATCCTGCCAAATCTGGACATGCCATTTTTCAACGGGACTACGTCAGGCTCTGTATCATCTTATACTTAAACGTTTTTGACATATTGATATCTCTTCTGTGAGCTGATATAATCTCTTGGTTCTTTCCATATCAGTTACATTTATGGGATGTGGGTGGGTGGGAGTGGGGGTGATAGGTAGGTAGCTGTGTTTTCCAAAGACTTGTAGAAAGTAAGACATTTTTCAGAAAATACCTCCAAGAAAAAATCCTGTCCACAATCCAGCAAGAAGTGGAACTGTCAGGTTGGATTTTAAATGGCAATTTCTATCTCCTTAACTGGCTCTGAGACTATTTCTATAGCACGAATCCTACACTCACATAAGAGAATAAATGTAACACAGAGATTATAGCGCATGACAGGGTTCCAAGGAAGGAGAAATCTTGTGTGGTTGGGCAGAGGATGTTTGAAATATACAGGAAGGCAAAACAGAGTCAGAAGTGGGGAGAGAAGTGAGGGACTGCAGGAGCCTTTGATGTCAGCCAGTGCAAGTCATTAATTCCTCTAAGTGTTTATTGGAGGCCTATTACAGGCAAGCTCCTTGGTTGTCCCTGGCGTCCCCTGTCCTCTAAGCCATGAAATCCTATGCCCTCCCCTCATCTGCCTCCCCAGAGCCTCCAAGGTGGCATGTGCCCAGCATGAACCCCTGCCTGGCCTGCATGCCTCCTCTCCCTCAGGCCTGACTTTCCATCTTGGCAGTGCTGGGCTTGCGGATGGGAGACAGGCTCTCCCAGCTGTCAGGGCAAGCCCATGCCTTTCGTAAACATTTACTGAATGGCCCTGGCCAGTGTGGCTCAGTTGGTTAAGCATCGCCCCATGCACTGAGAGGTTGCCAGTTCAATTCCTGGTCAGGGCATATGCCCAGGTGGATTCAGTTGTCTGGTTAGGGTGTGTCCCTGGTCGGAGTGTGTGTCTCTGGTCAGGGAATGTGGGAGGCAACCGATCAGATATTTCTCTTTCTGTCCCTTCCTCTCTCTCTAAAATCAATAAAAACGTATTTTTTTAAAAAGCAAACATTTACTGAATGTTCACCATGTGCCAGAAGCTGCATCAAGTCCTAGAGATTCATCAAAAGGCACAGGTTTTTGCTCATTTTCTTCCAGCTGCTGAGCACGTGCACAGATGTCCTGAAGAAAGTGCAATGATACATAGGCGCTATTTTGTGTTCTACTTTTTCATAAAACAAGGCCACATTTGCATCTTCCCCACAGTTTTATACACGATAAGCTTGAGGTAGCTAAACAACAACCAAGGTAGTCAGGAATATAGAACTAAAATATCACTCCGGGTGAGATATAATTATCTCCTCACAATTGTCCTTTGTAAGGACTGTGCTCTATTGGACATTTAGATTTGAAATTTCCAACTATACTGCTATTTTAGGAAATACTGCAATAAATGTCTGAGACTATATTTCTTGTTTTTCCTCTACTAAATTATTTCCTCAGGAAAAAATATGGTATAGTGGAAAAATATAGGCTTTGAAGCCAAACAGATTTGGGTTCCAAATCTAGCTCTGCCACTTATGAACTATGTGACCTTGGGCAAGTTCCTTAACCTTGCTAACTTTCAGTTTCCCTTCTACACAAAGTCATTAATTAATAACACTCACCCCCAGGGATGGTTGTGGGGATTATTCAATGCTGATGGGTAAAACAGTTTTGAGATTGGTCTGGAATTATATTCTGGCTCTCTCGCTTAACTTGGACAAGATACTCAATCTTTGTAAGTTGTTTCCTTCTCTGTGAAATGAAAGTTAAAGTGTGTACCTAATGAGGTTATTTGGAGGATTAATTAAGTATGGATAGCATGTTTAGTACTGTGCCTAGTATACAGTAAGAGACCAATAAATACTGTTATTTTTTATCGTAGTAATTACTATTATTATATAAGAAGGAAGCACTGAATAAATGTTGGTGTGGCCATTTTCTCCTCCCTAATCTCCTACTAATGAAAAATACCCAAGAATTGGACGACTGGGTCAAGGGTAAGGCATTATGTACAGGTATCGCTTTACAGTTCACCAAAAGGATTGTATCCAATTTACAACGCCACTAACAATACGCTGAATCTATCCATTTCACTGCAACCCCACACTAGTTTTTTATGTCATTTTTAAAGGTGCAACATGGTATCCTGTAGTTACTTCCATTTTCATTTCTTCATTACTGTGAGGGTGAATGTTTTCCTGTAGTATTTTTGTTTACTGTTTGGATATCTTCTAGCATGAATGATTTGTTTCTACCTTTGCCTATCATTTTGAATCTTGGTGTTTTTTCTTAAAAATTTGAATAAACTTTATTATTAAAAACATTATAATATTTAATGCAAATATTTTCCTAGGAAACTGAAGCCAGATGAGGTCCGGGACCCATGAGGAGAGAGAGAACAGGGAAAAGTACTGTGTGTTCAGGATCCTTTCTTAAATGGGGCTGTCTGCCGTCTCTGCTTGAACTCAACTATTCTCACTCCTTTAACATTCATCTCTGGACATCTCTGGCCCTGCATGACACTGTAGTTCTACAAAATGTTTTTTCCTGGTTGTCTTGTAGACTCTTCAAGCCTAGCACAGCTATCGTTAACTGAAATCATCAGCTGTCCCCCAACCAGCAAACTTCCCAAACTTCCTCATTTGGTCCCTTATTATCCTAGCCAAGAGATCTTGAGACTGTTTTTCAATGTAGCAAAAAGGCCTCCCAGAGTCTCAAATAATGATCTTGAATTTTAAATCACATGTTCTGACTTTTGATTTGGAAAATATGATGATCATACATATCAGGAAAATAAGCAGAATAGGCGGCCAAGTTGACACGTTATCTCAGGCCTTCTCTGCATGCCAGTACCTGCTATTAAAACTGATGCACATGGGTCGGTAAGCAGAACAATCCCACTGCGACTGCTATCCAGCGACAGGTATTTGGTAGTGGGATCCAGGGAAAAGAATGCACTAGATATAATTCCCTTGAGCATTTGGCCAAAGTGCCTACTTTCCTTAAATTTTTTATATTTAATATATTTATATATACATATACATATTTAATATAAAATATGTTTTATATTTTTAAAATTTGGGGTAATTATTTTTAATACTTTAATAGTTAACGGTATTAATTTTTCTATTGATGTTCCAGTTAGGATAGGAGTGCCATGACATCAGCAAACGTGTTTTAGCCTTCCTGCTTAGCCCCTGGCCTTTGCCACTGATGGGTAGTTGCAGTTCCCACTGAAGTCAGCTGACATGACCACCAAAACCTGCTATAGACTAAACAAGGCAAGCATCAGGTCAACTATAGAAAGTCAAAATTCCATTGAATCAAAATTAAAATAAAGAATATTACTGCCAAGACCGGTTTGGCTCAGTGGATAGAGCGTCGGCCTGCGGACTGGAAGGTCCCGGGTTCGATTCCGGCCAAGGGCATGTACCTGGGTTGCGGGCACATCCCCAGTGGGAGATGTGCAGGAGGCAGCTGGTCGATGTTTCTCTCTCATCGATGTTTCTGACTCTCTGTCTCTCTCCCTTCCTCTCTGTAAAAAATCAATAAAATAAAATAAAAAAGAATATTACTATTTCTTTAAAAATATGTTTTTATTGATTTTAGAGAGATAGGAAGGGAGAGAGAGAAACATTGATGTGAGAGAGAAACATTGATTGGCTGCTTTCTGCATGCCCCTATTGGGGATGGAGCCCAAAACCCAGGTATATGTCCTGACCAGGAATCCAGCCCGTGACCTTTCAGGGCATAGGACGACACTCAAACCACCTGAGCCACCCGGGGCCAGGGCAACATTACTGTTTCTAAGACTATATAGTTCATGGGAAGCCACGTTGGTAATATCCAAAATGGAAGCTCCCCTCCCTCCTGATAGTTCCCAATTCTCCCCTCAATTTCCCCAAATACATAGCACTGGATAACTTAAGCCCCATCCTCTGCAGAGACAAGAAACACTTCCAAGAACACACCCTGAGAGCAACAACACTTTCTTATTGCTTTCGGATGATGTGCTAAAGACAAACTGCACGCAGTTCTAAAGTTCTTTTCAAGGTTGGGTGTGCCTGTGTATAGTGCACGTCCATATGTGTAGGTACATGCACGTGGGTGTGTGGGTGTGGACAAACTGTGTTCATGAGGACACACTTAAACACTGTCTGAGGAAATGATGGGGTGGGTGTATTTTTTGAAAGGCAGAGTATGATGGTGTGAAAAACACATCTTGAAACTTCAACTGTTCATTTATCCCCACAGGAGCCAGTGGAAAAGAAAAGATGGGGCATCGGGCCCAGGGTATTCTAATTGTTTTTACCACAAAGAGCAGCTAGGGTTTCCCTATGTGAAGAGTATCTTTGGAGGTTTTTAACTGGGGGTAGGGCAGATGGGCAGTGAGATAATTGATAAGAGGTGGAAATCTAGAACTCACATCACCACCACCACCAAGAACAACAAATATCACTCACAAACAAAGCAACCTCCCAAATCCCAGTCGTTGCCACATGCTTTTTGGGCTGGGAGTGAATTCCTTTCCACAGTCAACTGAGCAGGCTTTGGGTGGTCTATTCCCGCACCAATTCCAGGATTTAAGCCACACTTCCCCAACAGAAAAACTGGTTAATTTACCTCCCAGGTTGTATACTCTCGATTTCATTCCCTCACCTCCAGCACCGCATAGTAAGGTCAAGGGTGAAATTCCCCGGCAACTTCCCCATAGCACCACCAGCAAGGAGCCCCACCCATCCCAGCCTACTCGCGCATCCCAGTCCCAGCCCGGTTCACTCCGGACAGTTTGGCAAGTTCCCGGAGCTCCAGCCCTCGGGGTGGGGAATCATTTCGCCTCCGGTGAGAGGTCAGCCCTCCCTGGCCCCGCTGACCGACTGCGTGGGGCGGGGAAAGGTGTTTCTGCGGCCGAGTGTTGGGCGAGGAGCTGTGAAAGCACCTGGGTGCGTGCGGGCCGGGATTCCGCTCCACGCGGCGCAGCGCCCTTGTCCCATTTCACCCGCCGGCCCGGCCCCGTCCTGAGACGGACAGGAGGCAGCAAAGCAAGAGG